TTTTTCCCTTTTTATTTACTTTTCAATTATTTTTTTTATTAAAAACATTATATTTTAAAAAATACCCATTAGCAATGGTTTATATATAAAAGGAAGCAATGACGAATCGAGAAACTTTTATCGTTGGGGTTATACTTAGATGCGTAAAAAAAATCTCAAAAACCGATAACCCATCCAAATCAAGATTGTTTTGGGTATTCGGTTTTCGAGTTAAACGGTTTGATTAACCCAATAAAGATAATTTATTCGGTTCAGTTTTTGGTTATTTTTTATTATTATTTTAAGTTAAATTGATCTCATTATACAATTATTTATATATTCTACTATTTCGGTTAAATCAAAAGCAATTGAATAAATTATAAATTAATACAAACTTCGAATGATTTATAATGGAGCAGCTAACTAGAGAAACAAACCACTAAAGTAATTTGCAATAAAAAACCATGTTAGCACTTAATGTTTTAAACTTATTTATAACAAAAAGAACTCTTGTAACAGTGAAATTCAACTAAAAACACGTCGTACACAAGACGTAGTCTTGTGTTTTGCTCAAAAGGTTAAGGTAATCTCAAAATGAAAAATGTATTTATTCCTGAAATTGACATAATTGATTTTTCCAAAGGTCAAATCGTGTTGACTTTTCCGTCCGATTGAACCCCGAAACTTTGATCCTCGATCCGCGAAGTGTTCAGTTTTTATTTTTATTTTCAATTGCAAACCTTGGTAGTCAGAATCTGGTATCATCATATTGCAACTAAGGGGCCGTTTACCAAACGCTTGCCCTGGTACGTGCTTACCAAGTAACATTACCTCACCGGATGAATATAGTAAGGACCAAAAATCTTACCCGGTAAGAGCGAGACAAGGATCAAGAATCTTACCCGGTAAGTGAGAGCGACGACTCTAATTACCATGATAAGCGCTTACCGGGTAAAATTATTGTATACTATATCGTTTTGATAGACTAAAATCTTACCCGATAAGTACATAATAATAATGTTAAATTTTACAGATAAACATTTACCGGATAAATGTTTAATAAACAACCCCTAAATATTTGACAAAGTTTGGAGACGGTAATAATGAGTTACAAAAATTATGAAATGGCGAAAAAGGTTGGATGGGCCAGGATCCATTCTTCAAAATAATTCAACATAGACTGGCACTGGATATATCTGTTTTGAGTTATGGAATTATTTAACTAAATTAAAATCAAAAAACTAATAAACAGAGGTGGATTTTGCGTACTACATTAATTAGAACAKAAATCAAATAGTAACGACGGTGTAACAAATGTACAATCTCAATGATAAATYATTACCATTTTAACTTTATGTTCAGAATAAGTGTTAAAATTGGAATAATGGACTAAATTTTCAATTCAGTATAAAAATTCAAATTTAACATTTAGAATATTAAAGGAAATAGGATGATGTAAAACGGGTAATCGTATAATGAAAAAAAAKGTACTAGCAAAGGATAAGTAGCGGAAATCGAATCCACATCTTCTCCTCGGTAAAGAGAAATAGGGAGTTATACATCATGCAAAATGAGTAAGTACTTCACTCTCYCTCTGAAAAAGTATGATCACCTTACGTCCTTGAACGGATAACCATCTTTCGSCTAACCTAGCCTCCTCGGTCCCTAGTTCTTCTTTCTTTTAGCCCTWAGGAGCCATGTGAGATGAAAATTTTCATGCACGGTTTTGAAACTGTCTGCCTAAGACTATCCCATACGTCCCGACACAGAGTTTATTTTTACGGTATCCTAACTAAAATTTTGAAAAAATTGAAACCCTTCTTATTAGATGATCATGAGACTTGCCAAAAACCGAATTCTTGATCAATGAAGGAAGCAAATCTCAATCGAACCTATATTTGCCAAAAACRAGAGAAACCTCATCTCTCTCTTTCCTTTTTTTTGCCCTCATGCCCTTTGCCATTTTTTAGATGGTCTTTTTTGATGATCCAACTACTCGATTCAACGATCTATTAGATCGTGTTCTTAGGCATCGCGATGCAATCATATCACATCTCAACTGGGCCTGTATATTTCTAGGGATGATAATGTTTTTTGATTCATTTTGCTTGATTAGTGCAAGGTTCCTTAAAAACCTCTGCCTTTTTCATAATATTTTGAACAGTTCTTGTAGGCTAAGCGCCTTTTTCAACAGCTTTTCGGAAATCGATTTGATTCTATCTCTTTTCTTTCCATAGTTCAAACTGGACAACATAATAAAATCGTATCATTGTTTAGCACAAAATACTAGATATGACCCTTGTTTTTGTCATACACTTCTTTGATTGTTCTTGAGATACATATATATATTATTAGTGAACTCTTAACTCACTATTTTTATAGTTAAATAATAAATACTTATTTTATATTCAGGCTAGATTGTGCCAACATTGACTAATTCTATGGAATCCAGTAGAAAACTTCTTTGTTCTTTCTAAGTCTTCGTCTTGCATAGAATAACGCAATTGTTGCAAAAACGGGTCCTTCAGTAGTAGGCGACATCCCCTCTTAGTAGTGAGAAAAATCCCAAGTAACACTGAGGGACTCAAACCAATGACAATTAGGAAGGAACGCAAAAATCCAAGCCTTATTGACTTATTGTTAATGAGCTAACCCTCAAGGTCTAATGACCATCTATTACACTTAAGGGTTCAAGTTAAAGAAGCAAGGTTTTTTTTAGCTCTTCTATCTTTGATCCAGAACTCTCCCCCCCCCCCCCCCCCCCAAAAAAAAAAAAACAATTGGAGTTGTTGTTAGAAACGTGAGAAAATAAATATTATCTTAATTTAACGTGTAACATTCATGTGGAGTCAATTACCTATATGGATTTCGAGAAGCGTTTTGGAAAATTTTATTCTCTACTGAATTTTCGAAGCAATTCAAGAACCTTACCACTTTGTTGCCCGGATGACCTCTCTTTTGTCCTTGTGTTTAGGTTTGGTATTGAGTTGCTTTTTGTTTCAAAGGGGATTTGTTCGTGTTTTTGCTTTTATTTTAGGTTTTTTGCCCTGTCTTTGTCATTAGTTGGTCTAGTTTTCTACTTCTAGTAATTTAAAAGCTTTTTCGTTCCTCTTTTAACATTCAAATTAGAAGTGCTCACCAACCCGATCAACCCAACGTGAAATAACCCAACCCGATGTCTAATCGAATTGTAAAATTATCAAACCGTAGGTATTGGGTTACTATTATTTGAACTCAACCCAACTCGATGAACCCGATATTCTTTTATTTCATGGATTTAATATGATTATTGAATTTCTATTAATATATACATTAGACAATTACACTATTATGTATGCTTTTCATATACACATATTTTCAATTTATTCATATTTCTATATAACTCATTCATATATATGTTCAGTAACTGTGAACATATATATGTRAATTGAGAAAATTAACTTAATATGATATACGTAAGAAAAATATGGATAAGTTGTATCAAAYRGTTGATAATGAAAAAGAAATTATGARTARRRAAAWA